ACTAAATACACACTCATTTATACATGTTAGTCATTGGTAAAGGGACACTAAGTGCAGGAGGCCATTAATTCCCAGCCACTTTTGGGCTCCAAGGATCAGAGAAGGTCCTCAGGGAATTGGAAGTCAGGGACAGAGAGCACCACATGCTTCTTTGAGGTTTGTTTTAATCAGCTATGGTAAGACACACAGACATGTAAAGGTCTGTACCTGAAGGAAGATTTATACTCAAATCCCTAGAAGTGGGGTCACACAGGGAAGCACTTGGGTCATTTAGGAGGCAGAGGAGGGAGGGCAGGCCTGGACAAAAGCCTCATTGTAATTTCTGCTGGAAAGAATGGACAAGGCAGGGCAGACAGGCCTATGAATGGTCACTTTGAATAACTCCAGTGGGCTCTGGGCTCAGGACTGTCCCTTGCTGTCTGGCCTGGCCCTGAGTGATTAGGACAGGGAGGGAGTGGCCCTGGATGTGACAGCCCCGCGGAGGAAGGGGTATCTTGTGAGCTCCAGGTTGGTTGCTTTACATGTGCAAGGCACACTCACTGATGGAGATATTCTTCCTCCGCCACAGCGGAGGAAGAGAGGCTGGCAAAGGAAGGGTGTACTGACAGTGGCTGTTACACATTCGTTCAACTTTTCAGTGAGAACCTCCTATGTGCAAAGACCTGGGTGCAGGGGGGCTTCAGAAAGCCCCGGGGGTCCCCACCCTCATCATGCCTATGATGGGGACATAGGAACTTCAGCTGAGGACAGGGGGACTGGAGCCCTGTGCCTGCAGGCAGCTTCCCCTCGAAGGGTGGTGAGCTCACCTCTGGCACCATATCTAGTCAGTGTCAGGACATTGGGCACTGGGGGCTCCCCCTCCAGAGCCAATTCTGGGAGTGGTTACACAGCTCACCCCTTGGCTGGAATCAGTCAGGGAGTTGCCATCTGCTGGCTTTCCAGGACACGATGTGTCTGCCGAATGAACACTGCAAAGCCCTTCAGGGGGGTTGTGGGGTCTGCATGGTACATGGGAGAGGGAGCATAAAGGACCCGACTGGTGGAAGTCAGGGCGGGCAGGGCAGGGCAGCACCTCCTGGAAGGAGAGCCCCACTATCATCGTCTCTGCATCAAATAACAAGTACGCTTTGAAAGATGGACGCCTCCAGCACAGAAACACAGAGAATCTTCAAATGAGGCAATAAATTTTCCTACTCAAGCCCCATCCCAAATAATGAGCGGTCTCTTTTAGCAAACTCTGAACATTAACACAGCTGGGAGTAAATCAGGTGCCTGTGTTAAAATGGAAAGCTAGACACCAAAGGAAGCTGGAAAGAAGGGCTGTAAAAATGCTGCCACAGTGTTCCCTGGGAAAGTTAATGGGCCCAGCATGGCTGATGGACTTTCCTCTCCAGGAGCTCTCTCCCCAGCAGCCCTGGGGAAGCCCTGTGACATAGAGGAGAGCCTGCCTGGAGGGAGACAGCCCTCCCTCTCCAGGGGACCAGCTGGGGTCCACTTTTAGGGCAGTGCAGCAAAGACCAGTCCAGGCCCCAACCTCCTGCAACTCAAATGCAGCCTTATGAGAAGTGCTCAGAGTCCAGGACAGTTGCAAAATGCTTTCCTTCATTATGATTTTTTTTTCCTTGAGCTTGCTAATTAAATCATTAAAATTTTATCATCACTTAACCATGGATAAGAACCATTTGAAACATTTAATTAGTATGCTATGAGGTACATAGGAGCCAGGAATCTCTGCAAGTTGGGTCTTTTAGTGGGGAGAAGTGGATAAAGTGGAGGAGGGGAGAGACGAAGGAAAAGAAAACAAGGCGATGGCTGATGTACAAAGGAACCTGCAGCCGCTCTCCTGACTTTGATAAGAGTTAGGTTTGGAACGAGGCCCACCTTCCTGGTCCTGCCCCTCTCCCTTTCCTCAGGAGCTCTGGCTGATGGCCACAACCAGCCTCTTAGCCCAAGTGGCATCCGGGGACTGTATGTGAGAGAGAGGGAGGGTGGGAGGGAGAGACAGAGAGAGAGAGAGAATGAGCATGAACTCTCAGCTCAACTATCTAAATTGCTTTTCAAATTCTCCATACATTTACGTTCAGGGCCTCTGAATCCCCTACACTTCTCTACTCCTCGTCAGCAAAATAAAATATCATGCATGAAATAAAATTAAAATAGGGCAATTCCAAGGTCAAGATGGTATTCAGCATGTAGGGAAAATGGCCCCCGGGGCCATGGGGAACAGGAGCTACCAGTTCTCCAGCCTGTCCCCAGTGCCCAGCAGCTTACAGGGCATCTTCTGTGCTCCCACAACAGCCTCAGGGTGGGTATTATCATTTCCTCAGTCCTAACAAATCAGAAGCTTGGAACAACACACACCTATTATCTCTCAGATCCAGACACCGAGTCCGAAATCCAGGTGTGGGCAGGGCTGTGCTTCCTCTGAACCTAAGAGGGCCTTCCTTGCTCTCCGGGCTTCTGGCGGCCCCAGGGAGTCTTTGGCTTGTAGCAGTTTCACACGTCTTCATACTGTGTTCTTCCTGCCTCTTCACATCATCTCCCCTCCACAAGTGTCTTGTCCAAATCTCTCCATTGTTTTAAATTAAGGATACCAATTGCCTCAGCTTCGGGCCCACCATATGTCCCCATCTTAACTTGATTACCTCTGCAGACACCCTGTCTCCCAATAAGGGCCCGTCCACAGGAACTGGGGCTGGGACTTCGGCGTGTCTTGTTGGGGACATAAGTCAACCCATAACGACTGCTCTGAGTGTTGAAGCTAAAACATGTGGGAGCTGCATTTACAACCCAGATGCGACCTCAGCACCAGGCTCCTAACCGCTGTCCTGCTGGAGGGATCTCTCGACCTCACATGAAGGGTCTCCAACCCACCACACCCCGAGTGCCCCATGCTGGGCTGGCCTGGAAAGTCAGGCCAGACATCAGGTGGCCCAGAGCTGGCCAGGCAGTCTGTGGAACAGGCAGGGCAGACCCCTGCAGCTCACCTCAGGCTCTTCTCTCTCTGAAGCTGCTGTCTTCTCTGTTGCTGCTGCTTTGAAGAATTTCAGAGTTCATGTCCCATGTAAGTCAGTCTCCAAGAACCAGGTTTTCGGGGGATTCTCTCTGAAATGACCATCCCCTCTTTCCAGGCCCACCGCTGTGTGCTCATCCCTGGCCCTGTGGCCAGTGGCGTCCCAGCAGAACAAAGGGTGAGGCCAAACGACAAAGTGACTTGTCCCCTGACTGGCCTGAGGATGTTGGCATCAGTGGGTTTTCCTCCTCAGACCTTTCTTATGCCCTAAACCCTAGGAGTGCCAGCATGTGCTCTGTATTATCAAGGGGTGTCCAGACATGCTTTCTGGATGCCCCCATGCTTGGTCCCTAACTCCTGGGACTTTCTCTGTCACTCTGCTCAGGCTGGAACTTGGGTGCCACCAGAGAGAAGAGGCTGGAAGGGGTCCCGCACTGAGATAAATCTGAGAGCTGGGCACCCACCCTCTTTCCTGCCCAGTGGGGTTGAGAGGTCAGGCTCTTTGATGGCTCCAAGTTCATCCAGTCGTAAATAAGCGAGGATCCGGGCTGCCTCGCTGAGATGCAGACACCCCCAGGCAGGCTGACACAGCAGCCAAGTTTTCTGCAGGAGAGGATTAGAAGAGGGGAAGGATTTCCCATTAAACACAGTAATTATTAAAATCCTTTGAGGCAACATGCAGAAAAGAGTATGCAAAACATTTAAGGAACTTCTGGTCCCGAGCTGCTATTATACTGTCAAATGACAGAGATGGCAGAAGAGAAAACACAAGATGTCAGCGTGAACGATACCTGATACAGGCTGCATGTGAAGTGGGGTGACAGTCGAGAACCCTGTCTGTTTGCCAGGAGATAATGAGAGTATGCAAGTCCTTGATTTCACTAACTTCACCCTTCATTCTGGACAGACTCTGGGCAGAGATGGAAGTTCTGATTACACCATGGAGCTTGTCTGGCAAACTCCCCTACGTGGTAGGCAGGCAGGATTTCTGCTCCAGGGCAGGGGAAGAGTGGTCTGAGGCTCGGGTGACAGACTGGAGTTGGTGAATTCCTGAGATTTTTTAGAAGAGCTGGGGGTGAGTGTGCTGAGTGGCAGAAGTGAAGAAGCAGGAGACCGTGGGTCAGACCCTCCATCCATGGTCATCGTCTACCACAGTCAAGCCACCTTTCCTCCAGGCCAGCAGGGGAGGCAGGCTGAGAGATGCAGGGCTTGGTGTGAAAACACAGGCTTCCATGCCTCTCCCCTCCCCCACAGCTAGTGTGTCCCCAAGAAAGTTCTGGTTTGACTGGGTTGGGCAGAAGGAGAGCTAGCTGGTTTTCTCCCTTGTTTTCTTCCTCAAAAGAGAAAGCAGGAAGGTCTTTGTGAGGTGATTCTCCAATCTCTTGCCCAGGGCACTCCCTGGAGCTTGACACCCAAGGCAATTCCAATTGAGTGGGATCAGAGGAGAGTCCCTAATTGGCACTGCCTGTTCCCAATCACTCAACAACAAAACACCAAGCCTTTGGTTGGTTCCCAGCACCACTCAAACCCTAAAATGAGCTACGAGGCTCCAGTGGCCATACTCCTCATCAGACTGAACGGTTAGTGTCTGGGTTCCTGGAGACACCTGGGAACCTGCTTTTGTCTCTTCTCCACCAACATTGCCAAGGCATTCCACCAGTCTCAGGCCTGCTAGTTGGGGTGTGTAATCCTAACCCACACCTGCTGAGTCAGAATCTAGATCTTACCAGGTCTCAGAGGCTCTGTATAACTGGCCCCACTAGAGAAACATGGGTTCCAAGGACCCCAATATGACTACACTGATGACACCTCAAAGGAGAGTGGAAGAAGCCTTCAGATATACCGAGTCTGAAGGAGCAGTCCAGAAAGGTAAGATGGCCTCTGTTATGGGCTCTGTTAATGTCTGTGTCCCCCAGAATCATTTGTCGAGGTTCTACCCCATTGTGATGGTGCCAGGAGGTGGGGCCTTTGGGGGGGTGATTAGGCCATCAGGATGGAGCCCACGTGAAAGGGATCAGTGTCCTGTAAAAGGGACCCCAGAGGACTCTCTTGGCCCTTCTGCCTGTCAGGACAAGTGTGAAGATGCCAACGGAAACGGGCCACACCCGTCACTGAATCCTCCACTGTCTCGGCCTTGGACTTCCGGCCTCCAGGACTGTGAGGAATAAATCTTGATGAAATCTCCCAAGCCAGGGTATGTGATAATTGTACCTGAGCAGAACACAGCCTCCCCTCCTCATGGAAAAGAAACAGATACTTTTTGAGCTGCACTTCTTGCAGGGTAAGTTGAAGGGTGTACCCTTAGCTCTGGTGGGAGATGGTGACCCCCCCCAGAAGAGCAGCCAAGAACGGCCAAAACACAAGACAAAATGAAGCCAAGCCTGGATCCTGCACCATCCTCCTCCTCCAATGCGAACGCTGGAGCTATCGCCCTCTGCTGGACCCCATAGGAAGTACAACTGAGGGGGGCTACTGTTGCGTGGGGTGTCCATTAGACCCCCATTCTCAGTAACAGTGAGATTGGTAACAACAAACAGTCACACCGAGGGCTGGTCTGTGCCAGGCACTGTTCTAGCATCTAGCATAGATTTACCTGTTTGTTTTCAAAGCCCTCGTGAGACTTTTGTTATTAGAGATTGCAGTGCCTGCTTTGGTACTTACCAGGTCTATTTCCTTGTAAAACACAATACGTGTGGCATAAAGTTTGCCATGTTCGCCATCTCTAAGTGAACAGTTCGGGGCATAAAGTCCATTCTCGTTGCTGTGCAGCCATCACCACCTCCATTTCTAGAATTTTTTCATCTTCCCAAAATGAACCCTAACTCCTCATTTCCCTCCCACCCGGCCCTGGTAACCTATTTTCTTTCTGTCTCCATGATTTTGTCATGGAGGAACTTCATGTAGTGAGTTATATGTCTTTTTAATTAATTGAATTAAACTAAAGTCCTTCAATATTTTACTGCAAGGGAACAGACATGATGATCTACACACACAGGTAATCTCTAATAATAATTTGAAAAGTAAAATTTGTTAAATCAGAAATGTGACCCATAAACATTCTTATTTTCCTGGAAATAAGCCTCAAGCAAAATTTTAAAATAGGATGGGAATAGCAACAACAGCAACAGCTGCTTCTGGAAAGACCTAGGAAGTAGGAGACGGAAGCTCCTTCTGGTGCCTGATTTGGGAAGCCCTGTGTCTAGGTACTGCTGTTCTGGGGGTGGCCTGCTCACGGTATGTTTCTAAGCTCATCTGCTCTCCTGTCTGAGCTGCTGTCACAGCTTGCTGGTCACAGCCAGGATCTGTGAGCCAAAGGTAGCAGGTTCAGCTGCTGAGCTGGCAGCCAGACAGCCTTGATGGATAGCATCTACATGGATGCCCACCAGTGCCCCCTTGGAACTGGCAGTGCCCAAAGGGGCAGCCAGAGCTGGACCCATGCCTGGGAAGTCCAGGTTTCCCGTTGGTTAGGGAAAGAAAAGTCTAGATAGATCCTAGTCTAGACCTTAGCACCCAAATCTTCGGAGATAGCTTCCCTCTACCCCATCCCTCCACCATTTTACTTACAAGTTCTCTTCCTACAGGTGACCTGAAAGACTTCCTTTGTCCCCAGAGGGAATTTAATCACCTCTCTGAGAAATCACCCTTCTTGAGATGATTTCTTGAGAAATCCAGTGGTCTTTAGGAGCCTTTCTAGCTCTGATCTAAGTCCTGGGGCTCCAGTTCAAAAATGTGCTGAATAGGACATGGGGCCACATCTCTCATTCAGTTCCTTTTAGAGTTCCCAGCCTTCCTCTTTCAACTACCTCACAGGACAGTGCAGAACGGTGGGAGGCAGAGCTCATCTCTGTTTTTAAAATAAAAGATTTCCAGCACAGAATTAGATCAAATATAAACGACACTGATTTGTTCCCAAGGGAATAATTCATGCATTTATTACACCCCCGATCTCCCCTCCCACAATCATCTTCATTTGGAAGAGGAATCAAAGTCTGGATCCTAAGAAGACTGAGAAGAGCCAGCCCAAGAGACTTGCTGAGAGTTTTAATGTCCTGCTTAGTTTGGGGACAATTTGGCCACCCCCAGTTCATCTCCTCCTCTCTCTGGCTCTCTTGTTTCCCAAGGAGAATCCATGCAGAACCTGAGGCAAAGTCTCTCTGCTTTTCCCCCCACCCCGGTCACCCCACATCCTTCTCTGGACAGAAGAATGAGGTGTGGGACTGGCCTCCCCTAGCATGACAGAGTGGGCATCAGTTTAATGAGAAATCCTTTCAATTCAGCTGCAGGGGTGCAGGGGCACAATGGAGGTCTGCCATGGGGGACGTTGGGGGTCAGGACCACGTGCAAAGCCAAATGGGGGAGGGCATGGAGCCGGTTCCCAGGCAGGCTCCTGGGAGACTGGCTTTGATGCTGTCCCAGAATTTGGTTCAGAGTCAAAGCAAAGGGATGAATTTGTGAGCTGGAATGCAGCCCTGAATCTCCCCAGGAAATCCACTGAAAGATAGATTTAACTTGTGAGAATTTCAAGGAGGTGATGAATCATCCAGCTCCCCTCTATTTTCCCAGACCCAACAGTTCACGTCTCTACCTTGGGCTGGATAAGGGAAGGCGTAACATCCTTAGACTCCCAGGGTGCTTTGAAGTTTTCAAAGGGCTTTCACTTACATTGTCTCCTGTGATCTTCTGGGCAACCCTGTGGGGTGCAGTAACAGGAGCTAGGGGTGAAGATTCCTATTGTGCTGATGGAGAAACGGGACACTAGTAAGGCCGAATGACTTTTCTAAAGTCCCGCAATCTGGGAAGGTGATCGGAATCAGGGCCTTATTCTGGGGTTGTTAGTTAGGTTCCGATTATACACGATAGTGTAAGGAAAAGCATGGACTTCTAAAATCTAAACTAAATCAACACAGCCCCACTTAAAGTACTCAGTCACCACAACTGGCCATCAGTTTCCATATTGGCCAGCACAGCAAGAGCACTTCCATCTTTCCAGAAAGTCCTCGCAAGAGGACAGCAGAGCAGGTTGCTCAATCTATGACCCTCACACCAAATGCCACATGCCTGGGACACTGCCACACTCATTCCTTTATATATTGCCTGTGGCTGCATAGAGTTGAATAGTTAGGAGGCTGAAGGCCCCACAAAGCCTGAAATATTTACTATTGGTACTTTACCAAAAGTTTGTCTTTACTTATTTTAGAAGATACTAAGTCTCCAGTTCTACTCATTTACAGACCAGAACCAATGCCCAACTGGAGAAATCCCTCCTCTCTCTACCCCTGGTAATGGCATTCATTGAACTTGTCTGCCTATGAGTGTGTCCAGGAAAGAAATGCTGTTCTTTTGCTAAAAGGGTGATTTTCCCCCTTCTGTGCCATTTCAGCAGCTTTTCTCCTGCTCTGTCTTCACTCTTACCCCCTTGCCTGTTCTAGCTGCTGAAAGATGTCCCACCCACCACTTAACCCATGTTCCCCAGCTCTGGCCCCCAGGGACAGGCCTGGCTGCTGCAGAGCCTGGGGCTGGATCTGAGCCTTATTGATCTTGGTGCTTCCAGTCTCAGCCTTTAATGAATTCTCATGGATCAACTTCACAGGCGTCTTTGGAATGAACTAATGCAGGGACCATACAGCAATCATGTATTGATCCCCCACCAAGCTCCAGATTGACATTACCTCATGGAATCTTCCCAATAGGCCTATGAGAGAGGGCTATTAGCAGCCCATTTTATAGATGTGAATAACTGAGTCTGTCTGAAGAGCAACTTCAGTGCTATACAGTCTCTGGGTGATAACAGGGACCTCCTTTGTAAGAGAGAGAGCTTGTGAGACATGTGGAAGATGCGAAACACCTACGAAGGGCAAGAAGACAATGTACTGAACCCCATAAAACCTCACCCACTTCCACAATTTTCAACTCTTTGTCAGTCCTGTTTCATCTGTTCCTCCATTCATTCCTGTCAAACTCTGTTCTTTCATGGGAAATCCCAGTCTGTCATTTTATCAGTGAATATTTTAGCATGTATCATTAAAAAACATAAGCACAATACTATTAGCACAGCTAAAAATACAATAATTCCTGAATATCAACAAATACCAACTAGTGTTCAAAGTTCTGTAATTATCACATCAATACTTTTATCATTTTTAAACATGAGTTGAAATCTGAATAAGGTCCACACATCATATTGATCTGGCTCCTCAGTCTCCATTAATCTATAACTCACATTTTCCTTGCCATTATTTAATTATAAAATTATTTAGTCATTTAATAAATTATTGGGTTGCCTGTCCAACAGAGTTTGCCACAGTCTAGACTTTTGAGGATTGAGGCTTTCTGGGGTCATTTAACATGTTCCTCTGTTCTCTGCCTTTTCAGTAACTGGTCATTGGGTCTACATGAGATTTGGGTTTTGCTTTCTGGAGATAACATTTCACTGCGTGGTGTTGTGTCCCACGATTGGGGGCACAAAATGCCTAGTTTGTGACTAACAGTCATCGCTTGGATCGATTAGTTTATTAGAGGTTGCAAGAGGGCATATTTGAATTCTACACTCCTGTTCACTGATCAGGTGAAATGCTACAGTGAGGGCCTGCCCCTCACCCACTATTTGGTCACCAGGCCTGAGGTCTAGTTGCTAAAGGAAAGGCTGGATAATTGCTGATTTCTTTTCCCTTCATTGAACAATTTTCAAAACAATGAGTTGGTACCCCCCACATCCTCCCAAGTTGTTCAGGAAGGTTTTCTTTCCTTAACTGTTGTGAATTCATGGATTTAGACATATTTGATGTGTTTTACTCCATCATGCTAGCTGTCCTTGAAGGTGCCAAATTGTTGGAGGGGAGCTGTCATACCCATTTTCCCTATACCCCTAAAGTTGCAACTTTTGGCACAAGAGATACCAGGCTGGGCAACCCTGTAACATGTGATGTGTTGATGCAGACACTGATTCCAAGCCTTAAAACACACACACACATGCGCACACACATGCAGAAACACACCATATACACACATCACATACACCTGTGCATACACACACCATATGCTCCTATGAATGCACATGTCATATGCGCATACACAGCACATGCACACACACATCACAGGCACATATGCACAAATACACGCACACCTTGCTGTTCATGAAGGAAAGTAATTTCCAGGCGTCTGTTCCCACCTACTGGTTACAGATACCCTCGTATCTGATAGGTGGCCAGCTTACCTGGCTTGATAAGGGCCAGATACTGTCTTTTTTAAATTTATTTATGCATACAAGAGCTGGGGCACAGG